TCTTCCGTCGCCTCCACCATGACAGCAGCGGCGCCGGCATAGCTCAGCCAAATTTTGTTGGGTGCTTTAAGCGCGACTTCAGTTGGGTGCCCACGCCACAGCTGGCGTCAAGTCCTTGCCTTATCCGCGGGAAAACGGTCGGGGAGGGACTCAAACCCCAGACCAGGGGATGGGGAGGGTGGACCATTTCCAACCGACGCCACTCGGTCATCATTCGCTGCAATAGAGTTGCCCATATAGAGCAGCGGTAGAGTCTAACAGGTCCGTCCGCAGCAATACAGGTGCCTACACAGAGCACCTATAGATCCAAAGAGGTCTATCCGCAGCAGTGGAAATGCCTACATAGAGCACCCATAGTTCCAAACAGGTCCATCCGGGTTACGTGTCCCCAGAGCGCCAAAATTGACCCCACTGGCCGCCGTTTTCGGTTGTCCTCCCCCCGCGCCAGAGCCGCCGGGGACCTCACCTGTTCCGACGCCTGGCGCTGGAGATTGAGGTCGTCGCCCAGCAGCCACTCTCCCATCCTGGCGGGCACCTCGGAGGCCTCCCCGCCGCACTGCCTGGACTCGCCGTCGGCCATCGCGGGCGCCGCGCTCCCGGAGTCAGGGGGTGGGTGGACCGCGCTTAGTCAAGCATGCGCCCGAGGGCTGCCCGATTTGAAATTTGGCAGGCCGCTAGGGCGCCTCGGGGTGGGTGGGTGGGGGTGGGTGGGTGGGTGGGGGGGGTAGGGGACCGGGGGCGGCAAAAAGAACGATGTTCTGGCGCAGTCTCCGGGCCTTAGGCAAGTGGGTCCCAGCTGCTGTTTGTGGTGCGTCGCTGTTTGGTTAATATCTTTGGTTAAATATCTTGGTTAAATGTACTCGTTTGACGATGTCGCGTCACGCCGTGAGCAATACCCCATAAGCACTTGCATTGAATGGATTGTTGTTTGTGAGCGTGTGCAGGTTTGGGCGAACAGTGCGCTTTCGGAACTATTTAGCGCCGCTTGGGGAAGGTTGCACGCAAGACTCGGCGGTCAGCAGGTGGGACTTTGCGCAAGATTCAGTACCTAGTGGCGTGTAGTCGTGCCCATTCGACCCGGTCCTTGTTGGGGGGGAACGAGCGTAAAATTTTCGGCTGCTGCTGAGCACGTCACTGTTTGCAAAGCGCAGGGTTTTGGGATTTGTGGCGTGATGATTGCAAGCCTCAGTCAACAGAATTTACTCCAACAGTACTGTAGTGCTACAGTACCACAGTACTACAACACTACAGTACAAAAGCACTGCGGTACCAACGACAGGGGGCACCCCATAGCCATGCCCTGTGGGGCAAAATGAAAAAACAGACAAATTTTGGTCTGCAACAGTATAACAAAAACTGCAAAAATAAAGTGAAAGTAGAAGGGCGTAGAAGTTAAACGAGTCCAAATTCAGGTTCAATCAGGTCCACTCTCAGTTGAGCATAACCTGGTCCAAATTAAGGCTCTACATGGTCCAAATTGAGGCTTGACCCTATAAACAAGCAAAACCTAAACCCAACCTCAAACCAAACCCTAAAAACCTAATGAAATTACAAACAAAATACTCAAACAACCCTCATGGCTTCAGCTTCTCATTCAGAAGTTCTGAAGGGTATCAGACATGTCTGCACCCTATGACTGGAGTAGGTTGAATGTCAATGTGGACTAGATTTTGCCCGGATTGGAATAGGTCTAGCATCAATTTGGACTAGGTATTCCCTCCACTGAGCGTGGGCTACGTTGAACCTTAATTCGGACTAGGTCGAACATGTTTCCCAAAGTAGAAATATGCAGAAAATGCATAGAAATAGAACAGGAACAATTCAAGGAACAGACCGAAATAAACGGAAAGGAAACCATGCAAGGACATGGTTGCCATTTGAAATTGCACAACGGGTGCTGGGTTGGACTGCAGTGGAATCGCTCAATGGGAGCGTGCATCAATACTCAACTCTCACAGTAGTTCTTCTATACTGATGGATATTGAATGGATGACAAGATGGATTGAATGATTTATGCAAGTATGTGTACTCTGCTAATCCACTATGGAAAGCGGCTGTTTCGCCAATGAGAAGCAACCTATTCTCGTACAAATGTGTATTCGAGCGCTCATGACACCTCGAACTGGCTCACAGCGGCTGCCAAGGCACAGCTGCAATGGCGCGGCCCCACCACAAACACATAACTATGTACACTCCAAATCTTGTTGTGATGTACAAATGCCCCCTCTCCTCGAATCTATCCAGCATTGGTGTCCTGCCAGGGTTTGCAACACTGCCCATTTCCCCTCTGCCAGAACTGGCTGTCCAGTATCAGGGCGTCTAAGCGCCGCTGCGCCGCCATGTAGGGGACAGCGCCCCGGTACTGTCCACGGTGGAACGAGCCCCAACGTGGCGCCAGTCAACGATTGCCGCAGCAAAGGACATGGAAACCCCAGTCAATAACAAAACCGCCATAACAAACAGTAACACAAACAAATTCGTTGCTGCCTGTGCTGATGGGGCACGCCATCGGTGGCACGTTGTCCCATCGATGGTGCCTTTGCAGGCCCCAGCCGGTGCAGGTGCTCAAGGCCAAGTTCAGCAATCACCAATCCTAACTTTGCAGCGGTGCGCCTGGCGATTTAGGGCTTCTGGGCAGCAGGCAGGGAGGCTCACAAAACATGCTGCTGTCGTGCTGTTATTCTGGACGCATGCGTGCATGCCCCGCCAAGCAGCCACAGTGCGCAGCTGCTCGTTCCAATGGTGCTTGCCACCTAAAACGATATGGACGCAGCTCCACAGGTGGCTCTGTGCAAGTCAGAAGCCCTCTATGCAAGGTAATTGTACACCTGGGCACATTTGGAATGCAGGTGCCAGCAGTCAGCCATACAGCAAGCCATAACTAAGAATGACAATCACAGCAGCGGGGAACACATAACAATGCTCCAAATTTTCGCAAATAGCCTCCCAGTGTGGGTGACCAATCAATGTACACAGTAACATTGATGGCCCAGCCACTCCAATCAATTTGCCGCACATGTCACATTGGCCCATGTGAGTGGCTGGCAGTTCGTTTGCAAAACAACTGCAGTCACCATGGAAGTGCAAAAACTGGTGCAAAGCCCATCCCGAATCATATGCCACAAAGCACTTCCACACTCCCAGCCGCAGCTGCGACAGCAAGCCATATGCAGCAGATCTTCTTACAATACTCATTAGTTAGAAAGGCGCATTGGGGCCAGCATGCAGACCACTACAGTGTCTGCTTCCTCCCACAAGCGACAAACTACAAGGAACAAGGTGGTACACCACCAGACAACGAAGGGCAGGAAAACACTGTGGCAGCCATAAGGGGCAGCAGAGTCGTGCACACAAAGTGACAGGCTGACACAACAGCAGGACACCATGCTGATTTTGTTAGCTTATTTGTTGAAACAACACGCTTTTTTTGGTCATTGGTTGTTGAGCTTTGGGGACACTGACCACCAGTGAGCCCCACTATTCAGCAAATGGCTACAGCACTGGTTGGATCCCCAGTAGCAATGCAAGGCATCACCCACATCGGATGAGCCAGAGTCCCTCTCAAGGTACTCCCTCTCGATGAGGGACTCGATCCTCTTCTTGACTTCAGTCAGCCTCAGAGGGAACTTGAGCTGCTCCAGGAGCTCCTGTATGAGGAGCTGGTGGCTCAGCGTCTTCCTCATCTTCATGATGCGCACAACAGCAGCATCGATTTGATACTGGCGGTCCTGCACATGAGTGGTACACACTCATTGTGTGCTCTGTCCAGCATTGCCACAATGTAGAAGGTTCCGCTTTGCCGAGCAGAAAAGCCTTTGCATGCCCAAGAGCTGGGGCACCCACAAGAAGTTGCAGCACACAGGAAAAAGCTATCCACTAAGCGATGCTCTCGGGGAATGGGCTGAAGCAGCGCTCACGACAGAGCACGCCCATGAAACTGTGAGAAACACAGCACATGCAACAACCAACAAAACAACAGCTGCCAGCGCCAGCTGGCTTTGTCCATGGCAACTGCTCTGGAAATCGGACTCTGATGCAGCTGAAGACACATGAAGTCAAATGTATGTGGGGTGTAGCAGCAAATGCTGCGCACCTGTAAGACTGAGTCATTGACTTTCTTGTTTTCCTCCTCTGTCTCCTTCATCTGTATCGTGTTGATTTTGATACGGACATGCCTGTCCGTGAAATCGTTGTTGAATAGGAACTTGTCGTCGTCATCCACCTCTCGGCCCTTGGGCTCCTTTGTGAGCACGCGCACCTGCACCAAGGCAACGCCAACAGAGTTTTGACAGTGGTACTGCACCTAGACAGCTGCGGAAGTCGTGGCCAAGTCAGATGGCCGTCCGATGTGCTGTCAGTGACCAACAGTTTTCGTTCTTAAGAGTCACCAGTGCCTCACATAGAACAGCCAATGCGCTAAACATCTCCCACCAGTTGAAGTTGGACAGTTGAAGTTGGACAGTGCAGATGGTGCCAATGTCACAGTTCTGGAGGTTTTGTGGTTGAAGCTCCAATTACCAAGCATTAGCACCATACTTGGTCAAAATAATGAACCAGACATCACCGCATGTGTATCGCAATGTACTCCATGCTGTAGTGCTCTGAGAGTGCATTATCTGGATGCCCTGTGGTGTAGTAACGCAAAACAGCAGCAGCACAACTAATCGCACTGCATTAACAACTGATGCCCATCAATGTACTCCAGAACTTGCTGCGCCCCCTGTCCCCAATGGCACTGTGCCAATCCCCAAACCTTCCAAATACCAGGCGAGGTGCTTTGCAGTATCCACGCTCTGGTGCACTGTAGGTCGTACAATAGACAGTGGCAATTGGGTTTCCACAACATGTTTAAAAGGGGGTCCATTCACAGGGCCAAACAGAGTCAACAGGGTTTTACTACCTCTGGTCCAACAGTATTGTCCGTTTTCCAAATCACTCAAACAGTGGCCAAAACGTGCAAGTCCAAAAACTTGACTGCAACAGCTTCGATGCGCAACATAGCTATTGGTAGAGCCGTTCAGCATCGAAAAAAGGCGGTGCCATTCTTGAGATATGTAAAGAAGAGCACAGACTCCACTTTTCATTCTGTCAGGACTAAAAGCGGGGCATGCCCAGCTCGTAGTGCTCTTCCGTGGAGGTGGATCAAGCTGAGCTACCCCTAGGATGTATGACTTGGTGGTTAGGTATTCACAACAGATGCGGCTAGATTCCGATTAGAATCCCCACTGCAAATGTTTTTGCCTGTGGAGTTGAGGGTGTTGACAAGTGTTGTGTGAATGTTGAGGCCAAAGGCCAAGGGACATCTTGCTCTGGGCAAGAGCCTCAACCTGGTAGGTGCGCAAAGGTCTGGAAAATCGTGCATGGTGATGTTAACCGTGCATGGTGATGTTAAAAGATAGCGTAAATTGTTGCCCCCGTGGCCAATATTTGAGATCGAGAATCTTCGAAACATGATTTAGCATAGTGGAAGAGATGATCCACAAAGAGTGTGAAATCTGTGATGTCAAAACTCTTGAAAGGGTGTAGCAACGCTCATTTGTTGTCTACAACAAGACTCCCGAAGAATTTGTGGGCAACAAGTTGGAAAACACTGGGATAAAGTGAGCACAAAAATGTGGGGAATTGAGGCCCTGACACAAGCGGACGGGGACACTTTTCAGAAGGTGGTATATGTCTTGCTATATAATGGTGACCAATGTAACCAAGATCCGTATCATCCCAAAATCGACCAAGGAATCCGATTCTGGCAACCGATTTGCAGATTGAGTTGATCTTTTGAAGTTACAGCAAGATTGGATAATGGACAAGACTTTTGGAACAGAGGTAGTAGTAGGGGTCCATCAGCGGGATATACAACAGGATCTACAATGCTCCAGGAAGCGGTGTCATTGTGGAGACTGCCTTGGGCAGGTAGCTCACAGCATGATTGCTATCTACTGTGGAGCCACCTTGGTTCATGAATGCAGACATTCCATTGGCCATACGATGGACTTAGCTCAGGTCCGTGCACATCGGGGGATGTGTCCATGTGTGGGGCATGGCAACCATTTCGGTAGCAACTGCTGGTGCCCCTGTATGATGGAATCCATCATCGCCAACACCAAACAGCTCGTTGATAAAGTCAAGGATCAACCACTGATAGCACACCGCCTTGCATGGCTGTGTGAATCCTTGAGCGGACTTTGCAAGGGTGGATAAATGGCACAAGGGCATTCACAGGCACACATCCAACCCCCTGAAAATGCCCTCAGCATTGTGCTTGATGTGCGCACCCGTCCACAAGCCAAAGACTGAAGCGTCCTCCGAAGTTCCCGGTCTTCTATCCTCGTTGTCTCCTTGATGTCCTTGTAAGTCAGGACGTCCGCATCGTTGAACAACATCAGCACGATGGTCTGCAGTGGCAACACATCAGGCAGCCTCAACAAGCAAGAAATGGCAAAAAAAACAAGACTGTGGACTGTGCTACCCGCTTCTCGCCCCTGCACATTCCATACATGCAATTTCTGTCCTCACCCATTTCCGACACTGGATCGACAGTACCATTTGATATCCATCACCTCACGCACTCTCGAGAACAAAACATGCCAGTTGCTTGCAAAGTTCGTAATCTCCCATCCGCAACAGCAAGGGGCTTTCGGAGCATTGTTTTGAGATGGACAATGTGCCAACAACAATATGGCCACAATTCAAACACTGCCAAACCAGCTGCCACCAACGGTGCATATGCAGTACATGGCCAATTCTGATTGTGCTGTCCAAACCACCAACAAACCAACCAACCAGCAATCGCAACCAACAACAGAGTTGCACATCGACAGCAGAAGTTCACCAGTGCCATTTGCTGATACCCGCTCTGCTTCCCAGGCAGCTCAACGTTCAAAGGTACCTGCAGCTTCCCACCTGGAACAGGGACACCTGTAGCTCCTTCACGCCCAATGGAAACTTCGACTTGAGGACGCAGGTCCCCAGGGCGTTCTGCCACTGCAGCCTGCGGCCGCTGTACTTCTGAAGGTAGAACGACTTGAAGACTTCTTGGTAACGCTCAAGCTCCACAGGCAGCACGGCCTCCATTATGGGGTAGGTGGGCCAGTAGCCCGATGTCAGCACATGGACGTTCATGTCCAGGAACTGAGGAAGCTTCTCCCTGGCAAAAAACTGTAGCACGGCACACATACACAACCACATTTCTGCCACGAACCAATGCTGCATCGAAGAATGCACGGTGGCAACACTTTCTAAGCACATGACTTCAGAGCATGTGTTCACTGTTGTTGTGGGTACTACTCGTTTTCGCTCCTGTCTTTGTGGCTCCCAGTGCACCACAACGGAAACGACATTCTGGTCATGGCTTCTGTGTCTACATCGTTTAGATCCCAAGATACCATCAGCATTCAAGCGAACTACAACATACTCATATTGCGTGGCAAGAAAAGCATCTCATCACCACAAAAGGACACAATGTACAGTTGCTCACAGACAACAACAGCTCAGACATGCAGTTTACGTTCGCTGGAAACTGTAAGAAGGGAGTAAAGCACTGTTCTTTGGAGCTTGTGCTCCAGTAACCCGTTTTCTGGCTTTTGAATACAGTTCTTGCACGCAATTCTCCCCTTTCGTTCTGTTTTCTTTGGACAAACAGTTTCACAGTTTCCTCTTGGCTAAGCGGTGAGCTGATGGAGATGTAAAGGAAAAATGATGCTGACAAATTCCAACACCCTGCAAATGGATGAGCCGCAGCAGCAGCAGCAGCAACAACAAATACTACATGTACCACATGTAGTACATGAGAACAACAGCTCAAAAGTCTGCACGCTCCATGAACTTAATGGGATGCCAGGCCCATGCCAGTTTTCTCGCTCTATTCCACCAAAGAATTCCTATCCAAATCCTTGGCATTTCAATCGGTTGCAATCCGTAATGTTGTGGAAGACAAGGATTGGCAGTGACAACAGAAGCTAATCCCAACATCATGTGACATATACAAGAGCACTGCTGTGTCATGAGTGATAAATCACTTGTTGCCTAAGGAACGAAATACTCAATAGTTGGTCAATAATTGTGACCTATGTGAATTTTGATAAGCCCCAGCGATCCCCACCGACTGCTTGAAAGATGCCATGACGTCCTTGGATAGATCCATGTCTTTGAACATCCCTTCCAGCTTGTTTGTGAATTGGCTACCACACTCTGCCTTCAGTTTTGCCAGCATGCTCTTCTCGGCATCCACAGATGCACTCTTGCCCAGCAGCAGCCTCTTGGCGAGGTCTTTCTTGTAGAAGGCCTCAAACACATCCTTTCCCTGCAGAAAACAGTGCCACTAACTGACAAACACCAGAGCAACAAGAAGCAAATTCATTGGCTCACGATCAACACCAACAGATCTTCCTGGACATTGGCATCAAATTCGTCATCCCAGTAGCGTGGGTTTGGACATCTGAGTACTTAGCTCAATGTCTGCTGCGGGTACCAACTGGATGCCAAATGCCATGGTGGGCATGGTTCACATTCCAAGAAAAGGCTGGCGTATCTGTCCAGCATTCAAAATGGGCAAAGGCACAAACCCATGACAACGCTGGACACATGCTTCAGATAACAAATTCTCCCTCAATACCACAAGGTTCTCAGCCACACTGTGAACAAATCGAAGCAGAAGAGCCAGTGGACAAACACATGTGCAGCAGTCTCAATACACCCACTCACCTGTATAAACCTGAAAATGGTGAGCACCTTGTCCAACATGTGTTCAATCTCTTCTTCTGAGTGTCCCTTGTTGCCAGCACGGAGCTTGGAGTCTATGAATTTTGCTGTTAACTCGGCTGGCCTGCAACCGCACAATGCATCGTTCCATTAGCCCCACTTCCAAGCCTCCACCCGCAAAGGCACAGACTGGGAGCACTTTGCCATGAGGAGCTAAAACAGGGCCCATGGAATCTCCTCCGCAGAGAACACAACTGTCTATCGGTAAATGCACGACTATACAGAGGCATACGATCCACGATCTGCAGGCATCATTCCAGAATATACCCTGCTATGAGAATCGTGCCGATGTTGGGACACAGCCATTCTGTCAAGGAAAGCAACTTGTCACTGCAGTTGTTCCATGTTGCTTGCCCCTTGTGCACCCAGCACTGGGCTGAGCTTGGCATGGATGGGAATCATTCCAACTGGGATTGGAGTCAGTGAAACCAATGCCAAGTTTGGCTTCTTTTTCTCCCCTTGCCAGATTGGCTTGCATCGCTTCTCCACGTGCAGAAAAAGCCTTCTTACAATAGTTAGTTATGGGTCCAGATCTTGTCATCAGGTTAGGATATCCAACCAGTTTGGGACAAACATTCCCCTCCATGACCTTGTTGCTTCTTTGGGAAGCAGAGTGCGCTTGTCAACACTGAATGTCAACTTGATGGCAAATGAAAACAGTGGCTGCTGACATCTGATCCACCCGCGTGTACCACATGTGGCATCTACCACTGTATGCACACTGGGCTGTTTGGGTGCGCTGAAAGAGACGATCCACTCAACGATCCACTCCAAAGCTGTGCCTGTTGGCGCTGGACGGGTACAAGGGCTTGCTTGTTGGGTTCCAACATATTCAGCAGTTGGAATCGAGCCACAGAGCAACAGCACCCACTTGTTCTGTCGCTGGTTGATGGCCTTCTCAAACGCTTCCTTCATAGCCTGGCTGAACGCCGAGTTGCTCTTGAAGGAGTCTTCCAGCACTCTGTCAGTTCGGGCCTTGAAGTCTAACAACCTCTCCACCATTTCTTTCTCCTGGTTGACAGAGGTTCAAAACACTGAGCTGAAACCCCGAAGATAGCAATCCCTGACCAACTGAGACTGAGCTAATTCTGCAGTGCTAAAAATGAATTGAGAAGGAAATGAACAGCAAGAGCAGACAGCAGACTGTGCCTATACCCGCACAGGAACGGTATCCAACAAGGGCTGCAGGTTCTCTGCTCGAAGCTGCAATCCAGCTTGTTTCCCTTTATTCCAAAATATACAATAACAATAAAACCCTGCAGCTCAAATCTGTGGATGTGATTAATGCGCCCTGCACCTTAAACCATAGTACTGCGCCACCTGATCATTATATGCAGCTGTCAGCAGCGGGATAGCAGAATCCAAGATACCTAGTCCAGAAAGCTGCAGCAAATCAACAATGCCAAAATGCACAGGTGGGTAGAATGAGAGCTAGATTCATGCTGTTCTGAGTGTAAGCAAATCAGCAACCAGGCATGTGCTGTGCACCAAGGTATTGCAGATGATGGCACATTGCCAGCTGGACAGAGTCATATGAAGGGCTTTGAAACCACAGAGCTCCTGAACTCATTTGTACAGACAACGACTCCCGAAGAGCTGGTGCTACAACAAGTGCAGCGAAGAAAACGTCCACAAGGTACATTATGTCACAAACCCTCGAATACCACACTGTTCTGGATCACGCTAAACAGTGACTAGCCATCATCAAACTGGGGGCATTTTCTGGACAGACTGCCTCCATCAAGGCTCACCTTCTCCTCATCTTGCATTATTTCAGTTCCCCTTGAACGTATATAATCCCTGAAAGCAGCCTTCAAAATGTCTTGAGCAGAGATTCGACCTGGGGTGCACACAGCAAGCGATTCATCTTCCATAGCTACACATCAAATCAATACAATATACTAAGAATACAATCAAATACAATACAATAACATTGCTACACATTTCTAGGCACTGTCACGCGGGGCCACCCCGGACGGCAGCTCGTACAGTAGAGTAAACGCCCCTCACATGCCAGCATAAACGAACACTTCAAAGCCAGAGGCTGATCGTTGGCTCACACATTTGACCAAAACATGGACACAGGATGGGCAAATAGGAAGACAGCAGTTGCATTCTGGCTTCTCACATGTGTGTAAGGTGTGGGTGATGTGTAGGTGCACCCAGCCGATCGTTCCTAGCTGAGAGGTGCAGCAAAAAATATATGCTGTTATATCATACGCTGCCATCTAAACAGCCACACATCACAAAACAGAAACAGACTTCACGTACAAAAGAGTGTGTAGATGCGGTGAAGGTCGTCTATCCTTGCCGCTTCCATCAGCTTGGTGAAACCCCTGACAAGGATGGTGGCAGTGTGTCGCTCCAGCAACTGGTATTCCACCACCTGGATCAGCGGCTTCCGTGTTATTCGATCCAAGTAGTTCTCACTCCTGTTGTATTCGTCTGTGAGACGTCTCTGACAAATACAATCACAACAGAAATGTCACATAAACAATTGCCGTGCCTTGGCACCACAGCTGGCAGGTTCCCATCTGCAGGTCAAGATACATCCTCAGTAAAGAGTTAAGGGAACAGATGGTGGGGGAGTAAGGGCGTCACCCCAAGGCAGTGTGCCACAACACAGCACCACCAGTAAATTGCAAGCAACGTGTCTGTTCAGGTGCTGGGTTGTGTGGCTGATGGAAGTACAGTGCACAGTTGCATCCAAGAACACATGTTACCAAATGCAACTTGCCAGGACTCCCCACCACGCTCCAGTCGGGAGAGGGAGCAGACGAGAATCCCATGGAAAGTGAACCTCTCATGTCCCTGTTCACAGCTGCAGCTATTCAAAGCCATCCAATGCTGAATGAGCAGCAGCAACCCAGCAGATCTGGTAACCCTCACCTCACAGTGCGCCAAGTATTCAGGCACATCTGCCTGCTCCATGTACCGCTCGGACTCAGCCCTGTAGTATTGTGTCGTGCGGTCCAGGAAGGGCCCCTGGAAACCCATCTCATAGATCCCCAGCAGACTGAACATCCGCAGCAGGGTTTTCAGAAGAGCACGATCCACCGAGTCTCCCTGCCTCTCTTGCTCGATCAGCATCAACAGCCCTGCAAGTGTCTTTTTTTCCACTTCTGGGTGCACAGATAAATGCTGTCGAAGCAGCTGCAGGCCCATGTCGAATAGGGACTTGACTGCTGAGCTGGACAGAACGTAGGTGCGGTCCAGGTAGAGGAAGATGGATCGAATTGTCAGGAGCTGCTCGCAGTGGTCCCGCCAGGTCTCCTCCACATACCTTTAGATTTCAGGAAAGCAATTCCTCACAATATCAGTTTTCCATGAACGACAGCAGACTGCCTTGTGAAGTCAATCGACAAAGCATGCCTCAAAATCTCCCCTCAGCTGGGAGATGCCACACAATTTCAAGTCACAGTTTCTTCTTTTTGGTCCTATGTACTTGGTGCACATGCTGAATGCACGCGGGCCACATCCACAACCAACAATACAGCAGACTCGCACAGGGTTCTGTCCCTGTCACAGTGTGCATTCATGAATACATTTAAGCCCAGCATCCTTCCACTCCAAATTCATGGTTGCAGTCATAATGCGGCCAACAGCATAGTGGCAGGTAGGGTTGATACAAAGTTGAACTTTCTTGAATCACATGAGCCCTCCAAGGATGATGCGTATAGAAACAACTGCATGACAAAACGACTCAAGAGACGTACCTGAGGAATTCCACAGGGTCCAGCAGCAGCTTGGATGTCAGTCCAGTGACCATCTCTCCTATGTGGAGATCACATTCCTGAAAGACAGATGGCACAGAAGCTGACAATCTGAAAGGATGAAGATTTTCAGCAGCAGGAAGACAATGCACTGGACACGAACCCCTTTGAACAAGAACGAAGGGGTTTGGCAACCACATTGTCTCCCAATCCTATTGCTGAGACAATCACAAATGGCTCACTGTGTCTGCTTCTTGCAAAGGCTATTGTGACCTGACAGGAAGGACATGAGGGGGAACATTCCATACATTTTGCAGCTTGGTGTAGAGCCTGCTGCTCATCTTGTGCATGCAGAGGTCCTCCACAGCCTGGAGACGCCACCAACACAAATATTGTCACTGGAGCCAAAATGCAGCTAGTAAAGCATACTTCCTCCGTCCAAGAATAATTGTCCTCTATGACTATGGGGCACGACTTTTCCATAGTACTTACATTAGTTTTCAATGAAATTTGTCCAAAGTTGTGCTTGTAAGTTTAGAGCATACTCTCAAAATTTCAAGCCAACTCACTAAGTATTGAGGATGTGGCAGTTCTTTGTACCAGTGGTCTTTTACCTAGTGAACCTCGGTATTTGGGGTCAAAAATGACCAAAATTTACCTTTCCCCTAATGCTCAAAGGGCTTGTGTCTCATTTTATATTCTTGAAAATTTGTAGCTAAGGGTTTTGCAACCTAATTTTCCGTTTCTGCAATTTACTTTCAATTTTGAGGCAGTCCTTGTAACGAATTCTGTCTTTAAATTAGAGGACAATTAATCTTGGACAGAAGAAGTATTAAAACATGTCAAGCAAGTTTAAGGGGTTCTGCCATGCCTCAAGGCCCTAAGCTTGTTCCCAGTCGCAGCATCAGTTCCAGCATTGTCATGGCAAAGAGGCACTATCACGGCTCTGGCAGCGCATTTAGCAGGCAGAAGCCAGTGGAAAAGCTCAAGAAATCATCAGTCCTTTGAGGCGATGAAGCGCCCTGTTCGCCTAACAACACTATTCACCCTGTAGAGCTCTTCTAAGCTGCAAGTGACTTCCCGCTTGCCCTGGACTGCGTGCACAGCATCCTTGAGCTTGGCCCATGTCTTCTCCTCAAAGTCGTCTGGCAGCTTGGGTTTCACTGCAATGAAGGCAATAAGCAGGCGTGTGAGAGAGAGCCGATTGGGTGTCCCTGCAGCAACCACTAGGGAGCCATAAGCCCTCCCACCAGGTGTGCACGGTGACAGTGCCAAGCTTATGACTGCTGGGCAAAGCAAGCATCGCCGATTTTACAACTCAATATGATCTAGAGTGAGCATTCGCTCTACAAAGCAGTAGACACAGACAAGAAAATAATTGCACAGCCTGGAGAGCATCCAGGAACTCCCAGGGGCATGCGTTCGGTTCGATGCAGCTGGCTCACCAGAACTTATGGCCACAGCACTTTTTTGATTGGCCAGAGCCCACAGTCTTGCACCCTGGCCAAATGCATTTTTGACAAGATGGGAAATTGTCATACAACAAGCAACTTCCCCAGATCAACAATCGTGAAAACAGACACGCAACTCGAGCAAGTCCGAACATGGGATGCCTCGATCGATTTTTCAGAAAGAATTTCTTGTGCATGTGGAAAATTAGCAGACAAACATCATCTGAAGGAGCATCTTGGGGAAGGCGCCGGCGCCTGGTCCCGCACCGCCACCCGGCGATATTCACACAACCCAAAACGCGCACGCAGCCAAGCATGCGCTTCCAGGGCGCAAAGCCGCGGCGCCATCCCGACGCGCGGCCCCCATTCGATCCGCCATCACCCAGGGGATGGCCGGCAGCGCGCTTCCACCCGCTCCCGAACTCAATCCACGCCCTCCGCGGCCCCCTGCCCCCGGGCGCTACCTTTCCACTGCTTGATTACGAGCTTCTTGGGCGCGTCCAGCTGCGTCTGCGCCCTCATCGGCGGCATGGCCGCCGCCTAGCGCCCCCGGGCCTCGGACCTGGGGCCCCAGGGGGCGGGGCGTCCGGAGCGACTCTGTGCAGGCGCCAGGCGCACGGCGATAGGGCGAAGGCGCGGGGAGGTTTCCGACACTGCGGGAGCCAACCCGCGCCAAGGCACTGATTTGTCGCGTGGGCCCGGTTTGCGTGTGAGCATACAATGTATCGAAACATCGGTGTACCGCCGTAGCTGGTACATGGGGGTATGAACCCCCCGGTGTAGTCGATAGGCGCCACCCTACGATGACCGCCCCAATAGGGTTACGGTCAACTTAGCGTAGGGTTAAGGCCCGACTATAAGGGGGGCGGGTAGGGTGGCCACTGTAACTAGAGTTACCCCCCCAGTACCGGCTCCCGGGGAGTGGCCCAGGCCTCACCGACCTGGGGTCCGGTGTTGGGTCACGGGATTAATGGTCTTCGATCGCCCGCCCCCGGCTAGCGGCTCTTCCGCGCAACAGTGGTTTCGGAGCCCGGTTCCAACAAACCAAGGCCTTTTTCTTCGTCCCACCCACCCTCCCGGCGCTCTCTTCCCTCCGCCGTTGGGCCCCTTGCCGGGCCTTCGATCGCCTCCCTCGCCGTGTCCTGAATCGTTCCCACCATCCCCTCAACATGGATGGGGATGACGCGACCAGCCAGCGCGTCTCCAGCGACGGGGACGATCGACCACTCCCAATCGTCTCGGCGGCGTTGGAGCTTTCTGGCGTGACTGCCCAGCCCCTCGGCACGTCTCCTCCGGCGTTGCCAGCCGGCGACACGACAATCTTTGAATCGGTAATGAGGAGCCAAAGTCCCCCCGCTCTTGGGTGCTCGGCAGGCACACCTCCGCGGGGGCGCACGATCGGCGCGGCGGCGGACGCGTTTTCGCACAGCCCCCCACGCCCTTCACGCCCACCCTCCTCTGCCCCGGTCGGTTTCCCCGATCCAAGGGCCTTGGCCACCCAGATGCTCCAATTTCTGGAGGAGCATTTTTGTAGCAGCTGATGGCCAGAATTGGGCCATCACAACCACCACCCGTGCTGCCGGTTCTGCCTCGATCCCGCCTAGCGGTGTGCCCCTTCCCCTCCCTCTCTCTCTGTCTGCTCTGGGCCCACGATCTCCGTGTCTTCGCCAACGATTTTTGCATCCTGGGTACCGGCAATTCTGCCATCGCCTCCACCATTCATGGCTGCCCTTTCGAATCTGATCCCGGGGGCCACTCTGCCCACCCCGGTCCCCCACTTTTTGGCGGCTGCGGGGCCCTCCTTTTCTGCCTCCTCCCCGTTGCTCCCCAACACCTTAGCTGGCTTTGTAGTGGCCACGACTGTGGCCCCGCCGGTTTCTGTGTTGGGGGTGTCCACTTTGGTACAGGTGCTGGAGAGGCGCTTGTCCCTCCCCCATCCACCCTGCCACAGGTTCCCCCCCTTCTCCTATCCAATCTTCTAGTGACGATCTTCTTGTTAGGTGGTGTTTCAACAAGGCCAACTGTCTGCCCTAGGGGGTCTTCCTCAGGGTCCCGCAACTAGCATTCTTGGGGCCAAATGCTTCCCCGGGATGTTCCGTCCCTCTCCAACTTTTGAGGGGATCCCGCTAATGATCGTTGGGACCAATTCTTGGTCCATTTTGACGCCCATTGCCGCCTCTATAATAGGAATCAAGACGATGCCTATCGCATCAATTTGCTCCCGATGTTGCTGCGTGGTGTTGCTGTCGCGCACTGGTGATTATACTTGCAGTTGAATCCCGCGCCGACGACGTGGGCCGCTACCAACACGATTATATGCACTGGCCCGTTCCCCAGCCGCCCACACTTCTAAGTTTGACGATGCAAATCCAGGAATTTGTTGCCCGGCCCCCCACCACCGTCTTCGATTTTTTGACCCAGATGGACACCCTCCTTGGGGAAAGAGGGGATGCCGGGATATCCGTCCTTGACGTTGACCATATTTTGTGGGTGTATAGTAGTTTTCCTGAGCCATTTCGTCAACGGCTACCAGCGGACCCTTCGGGTCAAGCAATGCTCACGAACAATGTTCACCCGCTGTTGTGGCTCGATTAGACATGTTGTTTACTCTTCACCCATGTGGAATTCCAGGAGGGATTTATCCCTCCTCCTTCGTTGCCCTTGTTGTGGTTCTTGTCACCATCGTTGGGCATGCATCGATTATGACAACATTAGCCAATAGGCTAGGGTGGCGCTTTTGAATATTAATCTTGAGATTAGAAGTTCATGTTTTGTTGATCTTGTAGCTCCCTTGAACATTTCAGCTGCTTTGTTGTACCCCTTTCTCGCATGGGCAGTTTGGTTGCATGCCACTGCCCCTTGTTTATATTTGCTATGTGTTCATTAACCAAATGGGCCTTTCCCCGTTTTCAGCCCCTCTACCTATTTTGGGGCCCACTCTTTTGCAATAGGTGGCCTAGATCATGGCCGGTGTTGTAGCCCTATTGGCGACCGCTGGTTTCTAGAGGCGTTGGGGTCGCCCTACCCTGTAGCATAACCGTTGGAGTTTGGCCGGTCTCTCCACCTTGAATGGTGGGCGCATCCAGGGCAGTCGATTAGTTGGCCACACAGTGGGGTCAATGCTTAATGGGGATCGTTCCCTATAGCCTGATGTCAGCAAGAGGAGGTGATGGTGCAGTGGTGCAGTGGTTCAATGGCTCACAGGAGGCTAGAGAGAGATCCAAAAGGGTTACATGATTCATTGCATGTGCGCACACATATCCTCAAGCGCCATACCTGATTAGAGGTGTCCGTTGCAATCACATCAAGATAAGACAACTCAAGTGTGCATCCAAGTATATTTCACCGTCCCACACTCACCCATGAATGACCCTTTTCTCCCACTCCTGACCCATCCCCCCCATTCCCCACTTTTCATCAACTTAACCTACGTCTCCCATCACCAACCCCTTTTCCCCCGTATTCCTATTTCTTGGGGTGTGTGCTTGGTGGCCATCATCATGGTCATCGCCGTGCCAGCCATCGCCATCCTCCTCGAGATGCTAGGCTGGATCCAAGCCCTCCCCTTCACTAGGAAAAAATAGGCCAGATGACACAGTCCTGACAGAGTCTGCTCAAAATCCAATTGTGTACTTTCGGTAAATGTGGTCCCAAATGTACACAGTTAATACACACATTGACACAGCTTCAACCGTGTACCCTCAAACAATTGTGCAGACTACACGGTTTCTTAGGATGCACGGTTAAAATTGTGTCAATGTGTATACTAATTGTGTACTTTTGGGACCACATTTGCCGAAAGTACACATGTAGACTTGAGGAGAACATGTCAGGACTGTGTCATCTGGCCTTTTTTTTACTAGTGCTTGGGGCATGGGGGGTAGCGTTGTCTTGACTGCGTCTTCTCCCGCTGGACCCCATGCCTAATCCGGAGAGTTTTTCCACGCTGCCCACTTCCTCCCGTGCACTCAACCCTGGTGCTAGGTTGGGTTTCGGTGTTGGTAGTGCGCTGGTTGCCAGTTGCTATCGATGAAGTTGAAGGTCATAACTGAAGGGGGGGGATGTACCGCCATAACTAGTACATGGGGGTATGACCCCCCGGTGTAGTCAATAGGGGCCACCCTACGGTGACCGGCCTCAATGGGGTTGTGGTCATCTTAGTGTAGGGTTAAGGCCTAGCTATGCCGGGGGCGGGTAGGGTGAACACTGGGACTAGTGTTAAACCCCCAGTACTGGCTCCCGGGGAGTTGCCCCATGCCTCATCGGCCTGGGGTCTGGCGTTGGGTCCTGGGATAATTGGTCTTCGAGCGCTAGCCCTAGGCTAGCGGCTCTTCCATGCAACAGTCAATTATCGCCATCGGTCTAAGCCGCATTCACCGTATTCTATAGTTATATGCAAAAATCGTATTCACATATTTAAAATGCAGCTTATATAAATTATTTAACCACACTTTAAACCGTGTTCGGGGAGGCGTGATCTCATACTACACTAAACGGCATGGAGATGGAGCATCTTGTGTTGCACATAATGTGTGGGCCACTATGTCGCATGGTCGGGCACCACTAAATGTTGTAGCAACAATGTCGCTGATTTAATTAGGTTATATTATGCCATTTATTTTGTATATTTTCTTTTGGAAAAAGGGGCTGTACTTTATAGTACAATATTGTTATGATTCCTCCGGAAGGGTAAGAAAATGGTTGGCACCCATATTGCCATGTGAATGTGTGAGGCATCCATTTGCATTGTATGCACGCTTTTGGATATGAATTGTAGTCTTTATGCTATAAAAAAGCATTAGCAAGATAATCCAGTGCTAGATAGATAACACGTCACAAGGAAATTGCTTCAGCAGAACAATATTTCATATAAAGATTTCTGTCACCACAACAAGGACATTGAAATAGTTGTCGCCACATAGGCTAGGCGGATGTGCATGCAAGCGTCGCCATGCAAGCGGACCCCATGATCCTTGAGCTCTTCAATGCTACAGGTACCATTGTGAAGGCGCCCTTAGATTCTTCAATTCTAGTTACCTGCACATGCATATCAAGTGGATCACACATCATTCCATTTCCATTGTGTGTGGAGCTTGCTGATTATGCATAATGGATGGTGTTCCTTGAGAGGAATAAATCATGAAAATTTTCAATGCTTTGTAAGCTCTTCCTTCTGCTTTGCAGTTCAAAGTTTGCACTCTATCACAAGATATGCAAAAGATAGCAAAATTTGAGACCTGTTGAATGCTAGAATTGGCATTGAACAGATTTAGCGCAATCGCCATGTGTCGGGGGGAAATGGTGATTATTGATAGGGTTTCGCTGTGTTGATTTTTGGCTCCTAGATGAGTGTGCAACTCAATTGTGTAATGGACGTTTGTTTCCAGGTGTTCTTGTGGGAACTATTGAATTAGAGCATGCCGTGGATTTGCAAGAGCTTCGAGATAGGATCAAGAAAAAAATGGGTATGCAATGCAGACATGCATATGCACGGCATTCGGATATGCGATCATAAGCATGGAGCGATACCA